GACAAGGCGAGAGCTTCGGAGAGGCATTGATATCTTTCTTTTCGCTTTAGATCTTAGCGCTGTTTACTTCAGGTTGATATTCTAGAGCATTATCTGAAGAAATGAATTCGCCTTTAAATGGTTCAGTCTAAGCTGACACGGGCTCTGTCAGTTTTAGCTGCAATCGTGTAGCTACAAACAGGGACGTTTACGGCCACGGGTGAGTATTCATTCAATCCTCCCGCACGTGTGCATGCGGTACAGTACAAGCAAACAACGCAAAAACGTGGCAGCCAGTCGGAAACGAGCGGGAGTCGAACCGCCGCCCTTCTGTTCACAAACCACACAAGGCAATGTATCCACTCGACCGAAGTGACAACTGGGTGCCGTGGCTTGCGCTCGTCATCTCACGCGGCCACACGCACACTTGTGATAAATTTGTCGTTTTTACTCGTTCTTTACGTCTACTCTCACTTCCCTCTTGGGAGGTGGGAGAACGAGTATTGTGCTTGGTCTGGTGTAATGAAGAAGCTCGATTCATCTCCGTAACCACAACACTTTCGGTCTGCACCCAGAAAAATTGTTTCTTGATTCAAGTGCACGCTGACACAAGATGAAATTCATCCTTGAAACAAGCCAATTTTATCTTTGGAAGAAGATTTTTCTCTTATTCGAAGGAAAATAGCAGCTTGCTTCAAGAGTAAATTTGATCTTGTGTTAGCGTGCACTTGAAACAAGGAAAAATTGACTTGAAACAAGACACGATTTTTCTGGGTGTGTAATTTGTACGCTTTAACGTCAAAAAATACCACAAATCTACGGCAAATTTACGTCAAAGGCAACCATCGTTAATTTGTCGTAATTTTGAAGTGAACTTTGTCGTTATTTTGTCGTAAAATTGTAGTTTCAAAAACGACAAATCTACGTCATTTTAACTCTGTTTCGCTCTACACGGGGCAGTACCAAGTTCTGAACTGTCCACGACAAAAGGAGCCGACGGCCGAGCCGCGAGCGTGCCGGGGCTCGGTCCGCGGAACACCGGCGAACAAAAGGGGTCGAGCCTGTGTAGCTACAAAGGGGGCCTGTGGCTAGGGGTGGCGGATATCATACTGCATGTTTCACGAAAAAGGATCTTCTGTAGTCGGGTCGTATTAAGCTGAACCCTGGACACCGGACAT